AATGGTTTTTCTAGGCAACTTAGTGATAGGCTATATAGTTGTATTACTAAATGCTCATCACATTAAGCTGCTTATTATATGGTAAGCCTGTAGATTAGCCTTGACTTGGCCAATCAGCTAATCCTTACTTAGACATTGTTTTAACATTTGTTGACATCAATATAAATGAGAAATGTAGTGGTATAACGAGTCCCTCCCTGGTTCATAGGTTTAGAGCAACACTAAGCAAGGTCAGAGGAAGATTAATAGCACAGGTATAAACCATAGATAAACAAATAGAGCCCACAGGTGGTTGCTGGGGCAGCAATGACTGCCTATAAAGTTGGATGTGAAATGGATTGGAAGGGAGCAGCTGATCATCATACAGCACTGTCTGACTTTCCACTTTGGTTTTTCAAGAGGCATCACGTGGGTATAAGTTCCCTTTAAATGGTTTGTAAAACCCACTGTTTAACAGCAGCATCACACACTTTATGTTGCTATGTCTGTGCTGTCAAACTTACGGAACGGACTGTCTTTGTGATTTTGTGCTAGTCTTTATTTTTAATATTCCTAATTTAGAAAATCCTGTATGCTATTTGAAATGGATTCAAGATCATATACTGCGTTTTATGGCTGATATTCACAATTTCACATGCATGTGAAATATTTCTTTATCTAGTTAGCTGTTGTGTGCAAGACTTTGAAATTGCTGCATGATTGAATAAAATGTGCTTGTGTCTCTAAGGTTTTAGTCATAGATCTTGGCAGGCTGGTTGAGGTCAGTACTTCTGGATGTTAGCCGTCATCATTGTATTCCTGTATACTTCTCCATCTGTGAAGGTAATGGCCCCATTTTCTCTCCTGCACATACACAGCAGGATAGCAATTAGCTTCCCTTTATACCTCACCAGGCAACACATAGCACAGTTTGGCTGACATTGAACCCTCATTTAGCTTTGTGTATGAGGGTGTGAGTAGGTACAGAGAGTACATTACTTCCCAGTCTACCTGGCCTTATTTTCTATCTTTACGCTCTTAGGCCTGGCCTATCTCTCTGAGGGATCTCCCACTAGACGCTGATGTAAGACTAAGCTTTGGCTGTCAGGATGGCAGTGTACAAATAGCTTTGTTTAGCAGAAAAGCTACTTTGACACCCCCGCTTACCCACTACTTTACTGCAGGCATCTGTGAGCAAGTGTAGTGAATGTTGATGGGCTGGGTGAAGTGTACTTAAGGTGTGGCCACAGTTGATTTACAGCATGGTGTATGGAAACGCTGTCAGGTATTTAAGACTGGTCTGTAGGTAGATTGATGTTTTTGAAACTTTCATACCACTGATTTTCTGTTATTTTTGAGACGAGTAGAGACTGTAGAAGAGCACTCTACTACTACTACTACTACTACTACTACTACTACTAGTAGGAAAAAGAAAATGTTGAACTGTAAAAAAAACTTACTTGCTTTATACATAACATGGTGCAAGAAAGGTACAGTAATACAGTATTTGAGAATTTATTTAGTTATGTTATATTTGATGTCTGTAAGCCCAAAATGCCTAGAATATTAGTGCATTGACAAAATAATGCAATACAATAATAGCCCTGCAGTGACTGGTTACTTTTAGGATGTTTATAATGTTCAGTTGTTGAAACTGAAATGTGTCAATTCCATTCTGCAGTGATCTTTAAGGCCAGAGTCTGTGTCTGTGTTGATTTGGCATTAAATTGTAATGTTTTTGTCCTTCTGTGAATTAAATATAATACTAAATGAATATTTTAGTTGTATAGTGTACTGTTGATATTTTTGTCCCCCTCAGCGTGCTCAAGAAATGAACACTATAAACTTCACAAGAGTAGTATACTGTGTACCAAAGTGTTCACTCTATTGGATTACATTATAAGATGAAAGTGTTACTGTTATAGTTTTCACTTCATGTTGTCCAATTTAGGATTTATTTTATGGTAAGAAAAGCATGAAGGTTTCTACTCTACAATTTCAATTAAAATACTTTTGTATAGAACAAGTTGAGGCTATAATAGTTTGGCTAGGACACAAGTACATTTGGTCTGCTAGTCTCTGAGATTATATGATTGGATCCAAATATCTGCCTTGAACTGATAGTATTGTCCTTTGCTGTCTTGCATGCCATGTCAGCAGAACAGAGGAAAATGTTACAACCCATTATTCCAACTTGGAAACTTTTAAGTATTATTCCAACATGTTTTCTCCTGTTCCTAGTCTCATAGTCACACCAGGCGAATATAAATGAAGCCTCATACATTCGATATTTTTAGCATTTCATAATAATTGTTCATTAACAAGTAAAACCAGTTACAATCATGGCTGTGTATACCTCCTTTTTGATTAACTATGTATGTGTATTTGTGTTAATATTGGAATGAATTTAGGTGTAACTGGCAAAGGCAATACAGCAATTTTGACACAGGTTCTTTGGACACCTCCTGTAATCTACAATAAGAATTACAGCTAGGAGGCTGACATGTTTTCCTACTGAGCTGCTTCAAATTACTGTCCGTGTATGATATGACGTAAAGCGTCATTATGTATAATACCTACATGGCAGCGTTACTTTATATATCTCAGAATACTCTTCAAAGAGTTTTTCTGTAATGCTTCAGAGCGACCCGGCCGTTTTTTGTCATAGCTCTTTATTTCACCTGGAAGGAGCCTCCAGCACCCAAACAATAGGGCTTCTCCTGGTGGTTTAACACCGTGGTAGCTGAATTATGCCCTTGTCGTCTCCCACAGTAGAGAGCAGATGAAGAGAGCAGAGTGCTCTGTAGGTATTGATCACAATAGAGACGAATTCAATTCCTTTTTTTTTTTTTTTTATTTAACCAGGTAAGCCAATTGAGAACAACTTCTCATTTACAACGACGACCTGGTCAAGATAGGCAAAGTAGTGCAGTACAACATGTAGTTTCACGTAAAGGGCAAAGACAAGTACAATGTGGTAAAAAGAGGTCAGTAGTTAATGAAACATCATATACAGTGACACTGGTACTACAGCACACAGAGCTCTCCTCTACTCTCCTTTAGAAATGTCAAACACTCAACACCAGCCTCTCAGTCCCTATACACCCCCCACCCACCCACCCCTCAAACACACACTATACCACTGTGTAAATGATCTTCCTACACACACTATCTCCTACTCTCAGGGTGCGTGAGAGTGCTCAAAGCGAGCTGAGCAATAATGGGATACAGGCTCTACCATTTTATGGCTTGAAAATCACTATCATTGCTCTCATCCTTACCGTTTAGCTTATCATCACCACTGTCTTATTCCACCAAAAGCCATTCAGAGCCATTTGCCTACTTTTTCTTTTTTTGTATTATAGGCTGAGATTCGTGCTCTCAAGTGCATGTTGAATTCCAGACTGTTGCTCATATTAACTGAACTAGGTCAGGATTTAAGTCACCAGCTGACTTCATGTTATTCAGAAAAGACAGGAATGTCAGTGTCAGGGTGTTAGTATCAGCAGCACAAAAGCTTGGGTCTAGTTTATATGTTTGACACAGCAGCAGAATCTAAAGCTAAAATGGTAGGGCTAAATTTAAATATAATTAGCTGTGTGGCCTTTTAAGCTGCCGATATCATGACAAGTACCTTTGATCAGAGAAAAAGATAATTGCAGATCAGTAAAGATTTCACTTCACCAGAGCCTTGTTGAGATTCACCAGTCTCTAGACAAATGAAACCAGACAACCTGAACGCATTGCTCTTAGAAAATAAAATCTAGCAGATACTACTGTCTTGTCTTACAAATAAGAAATGTCTTATCTAAACTGTCTCAAGTGGTTGATTTTACAATTTCCTAAAGATATAATGATTCAAGCATGAAATTCTCTATAGATTATGTTTTTGATTTTCTAGGCAGCATGACTTTTACTCTGTTTGAAAATGGTAACCTGTAGCCGTAGTGTTCTGCTCTCCATTGTTTGGGCTCCGTCATCCATACTGTGTGTAAAGTAGATGTTTTAGAAATAGAATAGTGCTTAAAGTTAAGTGGGCTATAAGGCTGTACAGAATAATTAGAAGCTTCATTCATAACTTTTGTGTATGGACAGAACTAGAAAAGAAAGCTTTTATGTACTCTGCTCCCTTCACTTGGAGAAACTTGAAACTAAGTGAATTGCTCTCTATGTCGGATGTTAAAGCTCTTAAATACTTGTCACTTTGCGTAGGTATATTAAATTTAGTTTAATTATTGACACATAAATGGATATCTTCTGTGTTTTCTTGTGGTTATAGTTGTCGTCTGTAACCTTGTGCTGCTGTCTTGGCCAGGTCTACTTTGTAAAAGAAATCTCTCATCTCAACGGGTCTTACCTTGTTTAAAATGGGTTGAATAAAACAACGTAATAAATATCTAATAACAACAACATTGAAATTCTAAATCAACATTTTTTGCATATCTATTCATTCTTTTTTGACATGGTTTTCTGTACAGTTGCAGTCAAAATGTATTTTTAAAAATATAGCTGTAATAATTTCTAGTAATTTGTGACATTGTTACCTTGGTTACAGCCCCCATCCTTTGCACGAGTGTCTGACGGTCACACCAAATTTCTGCATTGACTGTTGACATTTTGAGATTTGCCTGCTGCCTACATGTATTTATGTTGATATAAAATGACTATGTATGAAAAAAATTGTCAGTATTGAATTTATATCCATCATATATTACATTTATCATAACTTAGTTTCTGTTCTAGCTAATCACCAGTGAGATTTCCACATGTGGTAGAAAAATGTTTGATTTCGTATTATAGCCTATCCTCCTGGCTTTTGTGTCTGTAAGTCCTGTCTAGAGGTTTGCCAAATAAACAGTATTTTTGTGCCACTGGAATATTCCTAATTCGCACACTATATCTCTGTATGTGGAAGTCCATTAGGGCCTTTGTGAAACTCTGAGAAAACACTGTGCAGTAGTAAGGTCTTCTCACTTTGATTCTTTTGCACCTTTCTTGTTTTTCTCTCTGATTTTCCCAAGATGTGGCTAATGGCAGTACTGGCTACAGGCCCCCTCCCAGGACCAAGGAGGTGGTCATCAACGGCCAGACAGTCAAGCTGAAGTACTGCTTCACCTGCAAGATCTTCAGACCACCACGTGCCTCCCACTGCAGCCTCTGTGACAACTGTGTGGGTGAGTGAAAGTAACCCAAAACACTCCAGACCATCACCAAACCATCTGCTATCTAGTTTGTGGTTTGTCTAACTTTAACCACTTCATATGTGTTTATATGTTTTTTTAATAGAGGGTCTGGTAATCTGATAAACGGGTCAGCTGCTGCTTCATTTTAGTCATTTTAGAGAATGATTTAGATTTGTTATCTTATTTCTTATAAGAATAAATTTTATACTTGGGATGATACAAATGCTGAAATACATATTTACCTCCCCCAACACACACAAACACATGTTAGCAAACACAATTCCGATAAGTCAAACAAATGATCTTGCATCTGTATCTGAGAATACAGGCCAAACTAAATGTTTTTGATGCATATCTACAGGGAATATACAGTACATATGCTTAGAGGAGTTGGCATCCACTCGGAGGAGAGGGAGGGAATAGTTACAAAAAGAAAACAGCAGCATAATGGTTGAGTTTTGCTGCTCCTCACAACTAGAGACAGACAAAGTGAGAGCGCAGCTAGGCAATTATTAAAAGATAGGGACACAGATACAGAGACCTGTGTGTCTGTATCTTTCTCATCAGGGTTTTTGTGCTGCTCACTCATCAGAGACAACTCCTTTGAATGTGTATTTCCTCGTCAGAAAGGCTGACTAAAAACCAAGGAGACAAAGATGAGAAAGTGGTAAACAGTAAAAAAGGTTAGGCGGTGGTAATCGGATGCGGCAGATGCATGCTGGCAGGAAAGAAGACAGACTGGCAGCTGAACAAAAAGATGGTAGGGCAGTCATTTTCACAAACAGGCTATGTATGTTTATACACAAAGGTGGATTTTGGGCACATTTTAAGTGGATTGTTAAATTCTGAAATGGCACTGCTGTGCTGAAGCCCACTTTTCTGGTTAAAATTTCACATATAGTACTACAGATTTTCATGCCTCAAAAACAGGATAAAGTCAATGAGTGACAGATTAAAACCAGTACAACCACACGGGCTGCTTTTAAAGGCTTTTTCAAAGCAAACACGGATATACAGAGGAGTGATCTTAAGAATCCAAATCCTTGGGTGTAAGGTTTAAAAAGTATGTTTAGATCATAGTTGTGAGCCACAGGTGGGAGGGAAATGATGAGTGAGAAACATAGTTGAATTGTCCATACTGCAAGTGGGTGGGAGTGATAAACTCTGGTGATGGATGTCGTCTATAATTGGTATCTACTTTCCTCTCTGCTCTCAAAGCTCCAGGTCTCCACCCGACATGGTTCCATATCCCCAAAGTGAAATCTGCAGTCAGTCAGCCCAGGGTTCATTATGAATGATAAACTGTATGAGTAATGGTACAGGAAATTAGGTCATATGCAGAAAAAATGGACCAACATTCACATTTTTTAAACACTTGAGAGCAAGGGAAATCTTATTTATGTTAATGGAAAATGGGGGATCACACTGGCAGGGAAAAAGGGGTACGAGTGCTTCCCCTTGACTTCTCAGTCTCCCTTTCTTTTCCTTGGGTGCTGTAAACGCCAGGGGGCTAACAAGCTCTTAAATAAGTTAGCAGCCAGAATGGATAGGGCCGAGGGTTATCCTCCTAGGGGTGAAAGAAGAAGCTTATAAGAGCGCAGAATTGTGATACACACAGCCACCTCCCTTTTTGTCTTCTGTTGTGCTCTTTTTCTTCACTTACTTTAAAGATTTCTGTGTTTCACACTGTTTCCCCTTGAAGTGTTCATAAATACTGGTGCTTGTTTATGTGTGGGCAACGTGTTGGGATTTTGTAATTGATTTTTAGAGTAATTTTAGGTCTGTTTGCTGTTTGTTTTTTTCTGATATGCTTAATTAAAGGACATCAGATGAAGCTTTAATGGCCCTCTTGAGGAAATTACATTGCTATGTAAGCAAACAACAAATACATCAAAAGAATATTGGCACATAAATAATATATTAAATTATTGTAAAACGGTGCTGTTGTAAATTTTTTTCATATATTTCTTGAATATCAGTGGAACCCCTGGCTCATTGTTCACACTTCCTCACAAAACATCCTTACATTGACACACTGAGAATAGGGAGTGTATGAACACATACAGAAGAACATCAGTGTGTGTGTGTGTGTGTGTGTGTGTGTGTGTGTCACTTCTCCTTTCCTGGCATTGTTGGGCCATTGTGGCAGGCTCTGATAATCAGATTTGACTAGTGGTAGCTGTCCCCATTCATCCTGTCTGACTAGAGGCTGTGTTTCCCAGACACACTTCAACCAGGCATTGATTAATGAAGACAAAAGCAGGTCATTTCACCTCACTAAACAAATAATGGCTCTGATTAATTAGTTAAGTAGCTACCACCGTGCACAGCTAGTAGTCCATGCTCAGAGATGGGACTCCAGAGCTAGGACTGATTCGATAACCACAACAATAAGCCGTCCACTCTAGTGAGTCAGTCAATCAGTGAAAAGAGAAGTGTGTTGGAGCACAGTTTCGTTGATTAAAATACCACTGACTAATTTTCATCTGAAAGCATTTCACATTCAAAAGTATGTGAACACTGTAGACTGCATTTAGATTCACATTTTGTGTTTTGATTACACGTCAGTAAGTATTTCTGAATTCCAAACATTTTATACACATTCAGATGAAAGAGGCTCCTCTGTGCAACACAAGAACACTTCTCAGTTTCTCAGTTACACACACTATATCAAGGTGGCTGACAGGCTTGTATCATTGTTAACATTACTGGAAAACCCCAGATGTTCTTTGCGGCATGATTTCTATGGAAGGAACACAGTGGTCTGTTCAACACTTTCACTTTGCTATCTATCTTTTGTCTTCAAATATTCTTAAATTGAGGTCTTACTGAAGACACTTTATCTGTTGACCCAGCCAAAGTGCTTCTTTTACCTCTCAACCTGGCACAGTCCCAAAGTGACAGGGGCAGTTTGTCAGCCATATTCAGTCATGTTGGCCGAACCTGCGGCTTTTATTAGCTAGTTTGTATAAATAGCCATTTTGCACTATGTGAAAAATGTGTATGCTATTATGCCAAGACCCAGGGGGACACTTCCCTTTTCCCCTAATTTCCCACAGTTCCAGAGTGCTAGTGTGTGTTTCCATGCACTGAAGTAACCTGGTCATTTAAAAAAAAAAAAAAAAAAGACCTGGTTTCAGTAACTGGGCTTCGAGAAACCTGATTTCTACGCCATGTGTACATAGCCCAGTTTCTGTGGGGTTTGTTTTTTGTTTTTTTTGTTTTTTTACACGATTACATGTGCATGACAAAGACTTCACATAGTATAAGTATCAGTGTGGCAGCAGCATTGGTGGGATAAAAGGAAAGACTTTTAGGTGTGTGTCCTTGTATCCAAAGTTAATGTTTCTTACCCTGCCTCCATCTGCCTCTCTCTGTCCATACAGAGCGTTTTGACCACCATTGTCCGTGGGTGGGGAACTGCGTGGGAAGGAGGAACTACCGTTTCTTCTACATGTTCATCCTCTCGCTCTCCTTCCTCACCATTTTCATCTTCGCCTTCGTCATCACACACATCATTTTGCGTAAGTAGTGGAGGGGAGGGAAAAAGGACATGTGCCCAGGCTTGGTACTGAGACACACACACACACACATACACACTCATCATCCTGTGTTGTCGGTGTGTTTCAGCCAGCAGGTTGTAAGTGGGCGTTGTGAAAAGCTTCAGCATTTTGGCTTTTTACCATCTTTCCAGCTGGGAGCAGGCAGTGGACTGTTGGGCTCACCATCAGAGTGTGTGTGTGTGTGTGTGTGTGTGTGTATTCAGACATCAGTCAGTAGATCAGTGTTGCTCTGGGAAAGAAAGATGAGCCAAGATTAGCTAGAAAATTGTAGTACTTATTAGTACTCTTTTGAGCTTGTTCTCTTTACTTTGATTGTAACCATGCTGTGTTGAGTCTAAATGCTGTCAAGTGTGGCTAAAAGGCATCACAGCAGTTTGAATTATTTGATTTGTAGTTGTTTTTCTTCTCCCAGTGTGGATCAGGCCAAGTCACAGCATCCCAGTGACTTAATAATCTCTTCATGTCGTAAGCTCACTGTACAAGAGTGGTAAAACCTTCTTGACAGGGCTTCAAATCAAAGGTAGTTGCAGTCCTCCATTGCTTCAGGCACTAAACTCTCACCTTTTCATTACAATCTTTCATGTATTCTGTAAACAATAATCCAAATGAACATGTCTTTGCTCTCTCTGAAATCATTTGTTGAATTCTGCACAGTTCTAATTAAAAGGCTACATAAATGATCCGTCAGGGCTCATTGGAGCCACAGAGATGTCTCCAGCCACATATAGCTATCTAACACTTCATTTTTAGGCCTTACTTTTGGCTCTGTCCTCCCACTCTTGAAACTTGGAAGTTTAATTAGAATTTATGTAGGCACACTGCCGGGCTCACTTCATCGTATTGACACATCAACTTCAACCAAGAAATGGTCTGCAGCAAGTAACGGCTCCAGAGTGTGTAGTAGCCAATATCTGATACAAGGTCCCACATTCGATGGCTGTTGTTTAATGCTGATTGTATAGTGGTCTAATGGAGACTCTGTCATTCTCTGTTCACAGGCTCCCATCAAAGCGGGTTCCTCAACGCACTTAAAGATAGTCCTGCCAGATATCCTTTCACTATAATCAGACTTTTGGCATTTACTGTGCAATATGTGTCTGTTAAGTGTGATTGTCTGATTTATGCTGCTGTCTGTCCGTGATTTTGTTTATATACTTTTCTGTCCGTAGTTTTTCACCCGGCTTTACATAGATTCAATTCTATCACAACCCGACATGGACTAACTTGTCTAGCGAGTGCTCATGCAGGTCATTGTATGGATCAGAATTAATTTGCATAACATGCCTTTTCAAAGTAAGAGTTATACTACTTGCATAACTGGTGTGCGTCTGAGTCCTGTTCCATCAGGGTAACACAGCACGCAAGGCATTTCCTCACTCGGTCTCGGTTTATTGGTGCACTCGGTCTTTTGATTTCATCTGGCTCTAACCTGCCCCCACTCCCTCTACAGAGATGTTGTGCGAGTGAGATTTTATGAGTTTGTCTGCTGTTTGATAGATGCCCAGTGCGTGCAAGATGTCTTAAGCTACAGCTGTTACAAATACCCTGTAAGTCAGCTTATTGTCACATAACATCAGCGATAATCATGTGGTAAATCCAAACAAGTGAAGCGTTTTATTTTGAAATGACGTAAAGTTTGGCTCCACACCATTTGACTGTTGCTTTAAATCCAGGCAGAAAAGGTAGGACGCAGTCTCCACACTATTTCTGAGAAGAGAGTGAAACATCTTTTGACTTGAAGATCAAGGTGTTTTTTGCTTTCAGTATATTGTGGTTTCTTCCCTCACTCATACAAGAATCTGAACTAGGAGCCCGATAATAACCAGAATTGAAATTTATGAAATCTAAGTGATATGTGACGCTATTTCAAAGCCACAAATCAAGTTGAGAGCACGAGGCTATGGCGCGCTCTCTCTCTCTCTCTCTCTCTCTCTCTCTCTCTCTCTCTCTCTCTCTCTCTCTCTCTCTCTCTCTCTCTCTCTCTCTCTCTCTCTCTCTCTCTCTCTCTCTCTCTCTCTCTCTCTCTCTCTCTCTCTATGGCTGAGCGAGATAACTGTTTCTCTGGCAGAGAAATGTGTGCCAAGCCAAGCTGATAACGGCCTCTGTGCTACAGGACTTTTAATAAAGGGGAATTGCAGTCAATAGCATCGTGGCAGGCCTTTGTACTAGGTGAATGATGATATGTTTTGTCCTTGCTAAGGAGGAAGAGAGAAGAGGGAGATTAAGAGAGGAAAGGGGAGAGTGAGGGTATTTAGTTGATTTTTACAACAGACTGACTCATCGCCTTTGAGTATGTAATGTTATACTGACCTACCAAGTCATTTATGTCTGTTCAGTATGCCCGCAGGGACTTATCTGTGGTACTAAATAGTGAATTGGCAGTGTCTGGGTATTTGTGGGTCTTATCTTTTAAGACATTCTTTTAGAAACTGTTTCCTAAGATGTAGTTAAGGGTCACTGTAGTTCATTTGTATAAAGGCAGAAGGATTTATCTTGGACAGTGTCTGTGTTTTTGTGCTTTATGTGGAGCAGAGAAAATGAGCAGTGGCCTGCAGTCCTAGCCAAATGAACTGGTAACTAGGAACTATTGGCAAGAGAAGGACAGGCCTGAGGCTGTAGGTCAATATGCTAGCTATTTTGTTTTTTTTTTTGTCCATGCTGGCTCCATATGGGTCTCTGATGTGTGTCTTTGTCTGTATGGGCTTTCACATTACTTCCTGTTTCACAAAATGTAAGAACGGAATAAATAAAAGCTATGGCAAACAATTAATCCTTGACTTAACTGTGTCACTGTGCTGGAGGTGGTGGTGTGTTTCTTCTCTGTCTGGTCCATTGTGGGCCTCTCAGGCTTCCATACCTACCTAATCAGCTCCAACCAGACTACCAATGAAGATGTGAGTATGAACAAATACGAAGTAGACATCAGCATGCAGCTTATACTGTCCCTTTTAAAATATAAAGTGCAAAATCATGAGACCCCCTAAGTTAAGCTTTCTATATCTGCTAGACACACAGTATTTGTGGCTTTGTTATAGTTGATCATATACAGTTACTTTTCAGTGTGGATTTAGTAGCATTATTGTTCTTTGTTAGTCGCAGTTGTTGGTAGGGATGGTGTTTTTTTATAAAGGTATTACTTAACTTTAGAACAAAAATATTGTGGGGGGGTTTTTTATACAGATGTTGCGTAACCACAACAAAAAGTTAAATATTTAATTTTTCCTACATATTAACAGAGAGAAATGAAGCCCATATAATGTATATTTTATTTGTTGATGTGGTTTTACAAATAGTCACAAGGCTTTTAATTCAGGTGTTTGTTTATTTCGCTTTACAACTTTGGCATTAATAACCTTGTACCATAATTAATAAATAGATCCCGTAATAAAACAGAAGCATGTTTATGCTCTCTCTTAAGCATGGTGCTAATAACGCCGTGGCCACAGGTTTCAATCCCCGTACGGACCACAAACATCTTTTAGCACTGGACTAGACACAATATACACACACACACACATAATCTCCGTGTCACACAGAGTCGAGATTCTTCCAGTGAGACTTTGAGATATTTATCCAGCCCTCTGAAAATGTGACTGATGCTGTGTTGTCTCCTGCAGATAAAAGGGTCTTGGTCTTCTAAAAGAGGGAAAGACAACTACAACCCCTACAGCCATGGCAATATATTCACCAACTGCTGTGCAGCACTGTGTGGACCCCTGCCACCGAGGTATGACATGTATGTGTGTGTGTGAGTGTTTTTATGAGGTGATTTGCATATGCCCAGATGATGAAATATAAACCCCATCATTCACTGCTCTGAGAAAACCCATTCAGTAATGTTTCACCTTCTCTGTAATGGCTCACAGCACCTGTTGTTGTTTTTTTTTTTCATTGTAATTTTCTGTTGTGTCCAAAGGCTAAAATAGAACTGTTAGTCAAGACTCCCTTTGATGTGAGGAGCTGCCTGCAGCCTTTTCTCTAAACATAGCTACTCCGATACTGCTAGAGCGGAAAGGATTTCAAGCCCGTTTTAACAAAATCCAAGATCAAAGTTGGCTAGATATATTGGATTTCACACTTTTGCTGTTCATATGATTTAACAAAAATACAGGCCAACTGTCAAAGCTGCATTCTCAGGTCCATGTGACTGTAAATGTCAGTACACACATTGCACATTCCCTCCCAGCTTCTTTCACTTCGGCATTTTGTACCAACAATTCTCACTACTCATCCGTGAAACTGTAGTTCTCGATTCCACCAACTTCAACTGCTCTTTCTTTTCTTTCGTCGTGGTTAGAAATGTGTTCATGTCTATCTGCTCTTATCTTTACTGGCCACTGTACCAACTTTGAAGGTACAACACTTCCCAGTGACGCTGTCGGGATGTCACAAACATGTCTTAGCCTTTGGAACTTGCAGCCCTTTAACATTGCCTTTTGCTTGTCACTCACAAACAGAAAGTTAGAGAAACACAGAGTCAAGTTTAGCACATGCATACAGTACCTTCTGAAATTACTAAATAACATCTGTATGGGCACAAACACACACTGACAGAGTGTATAAGATGAGCAACGAGGGAGGCTTGTAGCAGCGTTCTGTCAGTGTATCTGGCTGTACTGTGCTCTTGCCATCACAAGCCATAAGTCACCAATAATGATTCCAGTGGGTGGCAAAGGAGAGTCCTCAGTGCACAGGTGGCTGCCATCTGGGCGTGTGTGTGTGGGTGTGTTTGGGGCCGGCCACAGGCATTGCACAGCTGGGTCCACCAGCAAGAAAGGAATGTTTGCACCTCAGCCTCAAACTATGCAAGCAACTCTGCCTCTCACACAGACAAAAGCCTCTTGCATTTTATTCCCCGCTGAGACCTTGACTCACATTTTCTAATGCATTAACCTTCCAATGTTTTTATGCTAATTTCCTCCTAGCTGCATTCACAGACGTTCCGGTATTTATTTGCTAACAAGACCAAACCGCTGCTGTAGATTTCTGTAGTTTATCTCTGTGATTCTAGCAAACCATTTCCACCTGAATCCAGCTCAGTCCCTCTGGAACACACTGTCAACACACACTCTGTTAAATGATTACCCTGCTCGCGCAGTTTAACACCTCAGCTGGCTGTGTGTGTGTATGTGTGTGGTAGAGGCTGCTCTGTGTCAGATCAACCTTTATCTGGCTTATAAATCACTGTTATCACATACTGTACATCTGGCCAATGACCACATACATGCACATGCATACTAAGAGTTTAGCGGCTTGTCGTCTATCCAGCTGTGTCAGAGTTCTGCAGCATTAATGATTGGACAGAAACAGTGATTCACTCCAGTGCTCCATTGCAGCACCTCGGTGATTTGTGTGTGAGTGGAAAATGTGAGTCTAAAGACAATAATACAGCATGCATCCACTTGCACACTACTGTCTCACAAGGTCACATGCACTCTGCTAATCCTTCCCACCTAACATTGATTCAACATGCCGCTAATACTGTATTAGCTTGCAGTCAGTCAAGGAGTTTGTACCTTAAGGCTTTCTGTGCTCTAAAGAATCCATGTCATTACACTGCTGTGTTTAATATGTTCATGGGTAAGCCCATTTGCTATGTAGTATTTGTAAATGAATGCCCACAAACAACACCTTTCTCTATTCTTTGTTTCTCTCTGACTAGTCTCATTGACAGACGGGGCTTTATCCAATCAGACGCACCACAGCTGGCACCACCAACCAATGGCATCACTATGTATGGCGCCACTCAGTCTCAGCAGAGCCACATGGTAAGACACTGACCTGAATCTCTGTGGTTGCTCTGAGATACTACATTCAGGTTGATAACTTTATAGATGTGAAAATGCAGACTGCGTCGTCAGAAGTGGTCTGTTGATGTTCGTAGTGTTGTTGGGTTGGCAGGTCACTTGATGGATGAAGTTTTTAGAGTAGAATAGTCATTGAATAAAGGGACTGGATGGGGCTCTCTCCTAATATCAGAAGCTTACCGGTGTTGCTACACAACCATCATTTAATATAGTTGCAATCCTGAAGATTTTAGCAGGTTGATTTGGCTAACAATATGCAAACATCATATTGTGATTATGTCGATTTTAAGTGGGAATGGTAATTTTGCTTTTCATTTTCACTGAAAAAAATAAATAAAAATAAAATGTTTTGGCCCAGTCTCACCAGGTCATACTCTGCTACTACATCTGCAGGGCTAGGCCAAAGCATCTTTCACAGCAGTCTGTGTGTGAAACTCCAGCTGTTGCCTTTTGTTCATTTGCCAGAAACAGAAAATTGACTCTCACAAACACCGGCAGATGAACTTAGCCCCATGTCACCTTGAAGAATTCCAACCACAGACATTGTGGCAGATTGTTTCTGATTTTAATGGTAAACATTTTAAGGGCTGGTCTAGGCAGAGACAGTAAAAGGTAGATGAGGTCAAAGAGTTTCAAACACCAGTCAGAACACTGTATGTAAGATTAAGGTTCTCCTCATCATGCTGATATTCAAGTCTTGCAGTGGGCCCAAAAAACAATGAGCAGGAATCAGAAAGAGATAATATATAATGAATTAGACCATTTTGTGCAAATTCACAATCTCGCAAACTGGAAAGTACGCCACAGTCAGTGACCACATATCTGCTGTAATGTTAAACTGTCTCCCACAGTCTTGGAGAGAATAGCCGGTGCCGTGAAGAACACACTGCACTGACCTCACTGGCCACTTTCCCTCTGGTGCCTGAATAGAAGCAACAAGTCTTCTGTTGTTCAGTGTCACTGTTAACGTTGCACATTACATGCTAGATTTAAGGCCTATTCAGACACAGCTACTAAACTCCTCTCACTGGTGCCCTTGCTCTGTGCCACAGACATCTCGTTGTTCTCATCCAAACTCAACCTCACTCCGTTAGTTCTCATTGAGATGTCGAAAATGAACGTCATTGTAGCGTTCACAGTCAGCTGTGTACCTAATATCTTGTACCTTTTTGTTTGCCTTAAAAATCCAATATGGGATGGACCACTTATTTCAAGTCCACGTTAAGAATATTGTGTCATCAAGTAGGTTTTAGAGAGACTTGTGGTTTGATTTAGTTAAATCGTTCAAACTGCGATGAGTAAAAGTCTCCCATCACTTCTCTCCCATCGTCTGTTTACTACAGAGGTGTGTGGGTGGGAGTTATTTAGAGAAAGGGTGTGAATGTACATGAATTGTGCACGCGTGCGTGTGTGTGAGAGATAGAGGAGGCAAAGAGACAGCAGACTGCTTGATTCATGTTTTGTCAATTTAAATTTTGTCAGTACTGTTATTTTACCCTTTTAATGTAAGGCTACATTGACTGTGTGGAAAATACAGTACGTAAGTTACTCTCTAAGCAAATAAAAAATTATGAATGTGTTCTTAAACGTATTTGATTATCAAGACCAACTAGTCCACAACTCATTTAGTCCCTGTTCTGTTTTAGCTGAAGGTGAAAAAGAAAGGGCTTTTTTTTCCTGCAAATCTGTCATTTAAGGGAAACTTGGTGTAGAGACACGTAGGACCGAGTAAACGCAGCACACATTTGTATCAACAGTTGTGTGGTTGATTTGTTCCTGTCACAGCTGCGTTTCTGTAAGTCCTATGCTGGCAAACGCATTGAGGTTGCATTTGCTTTTGGGCGATGAAAGCCCCATTTCTTTGTGATGTACCTTATTTAATCTGTGATGCAGCTCAAAACGATGGCCTGGTATGTTAGAAGCCTTGTAAGCAGTTGCCATGGCAACAGTGTGTGGTAGGATGTCCTGTTACACCTCGATAACCTGAAACCTCAATTTGGGGGGTGGGGGGAGGGGAGGCAATTTGATTGATAGCAGTAAGCATTGCATTCGATTAAAGGTCTGTTGATCAAAATTACAGTAAAATAATAAATAAAATGTCAAGACATTCTCTGGTTTCAGCTTCTCAAATGTGAGAATTTGTAGCTTTTCTCTGGTTTATATTGTTGTAAATTGTATATTTAGATTTTAAACTGTCGGTTGGATGCTGATCGGAAGCAATTTGAATCATGACATCCTTGGGTTCTGGGAATAATAAATTTTTCAATCATTTCTGATATTTTTATATATTTTTAGCCAAAATGTTAATAAAAATAAAAAACATAATTGACAGATTAATGCCCCATTTTCAGATATGTTTCTGAGATTTTGTCTCTACCCGAATGTAATAAAGGTGAAAGGAATTAGAAGTCGCTGTAACACATAAAACCAACAATATCTGTCATCATCATTTTGGTTAAGCCTGTCCTTTAACCTCATGGTACACAGTTTGCATTTGACCATGCAAATATGACTATTTTTGGTCTTCTTTCTTCCTGCCTGTCCTTCTTGCTCTGTCTCTGTCTTCTTCCTTCTGTGAGCTATTTTTATACAACACACGCAGAGTGCAACTTGATCAACCACCATTTCCTTGTATGTAATTGCACCGCGCGTGATGAGGGGAGTGACAACCCACAGCCTTGTTTTCAGTTTCACCACTCACTCTTACTTCAGTCAGCTGCATGAGTAATTGGTGTTAACAGTCACAGAAAATGCCCAACTTTGTTTCTTTGTTCTTGTAAGAGCTGCATACGATCAAACATACTGAATGTACCACCTAAAGGGTAGCCAAATGTACAACTTATTATCAGCCACAGCATACAGTGGTGTGTTGTCTGGAATAACACTGTCGGCTGGATTTGCTAAACTTGTAGCTGGATTCAACCATCTCATCTCGATAATCGAAAAATAAATGGTGTCAGCTTTGGGAAATGTTTATTTGTAAAGGTTTGTGTACATCCTCTCAATGACCTTATAGTTATTTTCTTGGAAATTGAAGCATCCACTCACCAGTGTGATACTTCTGAATCTAAATTAAGTGGATGATCTTGCACAGGAGGACTGGAAAGTAAGACTTCAATTAATCATTGTGTTCATTGTCAATTAATTATTTGGCCTGTAACATGTCAGAAAACATTGAAAAATGTACAATTTCCCCGAGTCCAAAGTGATGTCTTCAAATTACTTGTTTTGTCCAACCAGCTCTTCTCAAACCTAAAGATATTCACATGATACAAAAAAGTATAGAATCCACTGACAAGCTGGAAGATGGAAATGTTTACAAATTAAGGCATTTTTGTGACATGATAAATTATCAAAGTGGTTGGTAAAATAAAATATTGTATTTCTGTCTCCGTACACATTATATATGTTGTGTTTGTAGACTCACTGCCATTTTGTACATGATATTATAAGATGTAAATGTAGGATTACGTTTCTTATCCTTGTTGTGTCATCAATGCCACGTGTGAAAGCCAACCAAAACATGGCTTGTGCTGCTTCACTTGCTGTCTGCTCTCCAAGGTTAGTCTATCAGCAGTCTATGTACATTCTGTACTGTGTGTCTGTCTGCCATGGGGGATGGACAGTGCTGAGTCAGTCCGGCTAAGTTTATAAAGCATGAGTGGGCCTGAAAGTAGAGAGAAAAGGACAAGACGCTGCATCCCTCCCCCCACTCCATTTTATTTTATAGCCAACACACCATTGATGACGTATGCTCTGTGCTAACGTTACTGTGAGCGTGGCTTCAGTGTCATTTCAGTCCAGTAATCCTCGACCCAAATTAGTCTCTTAAACAACCTGGAGAGAGGCCAAGCTTGCAAAGGTGATAAGTCAAGAGCAGTTGATACGTGCTGCAGATAAGAGGGTTGATAATACTGAGAAACACATCTCTTCTACTGTCAAAGGTAGCTCAACTTCTGTTTAAATCACATCTGTAATCTGCTCTTTTTAGGTCAGTGAGAATGAGACAGAAAGGTGAGATGTCCGGAGACAAATCTCTGTGCTTCAAATTTCTCGTCAGTCAGACTTTGGTAGTGATGTGGGATGGAAGGGGAGGCATTATTTGTTTGAATGGCTTCTTAATTCCTGTCACCTCTGCACAGCTAGAGATATTTCATCTGTAATTGGTCTCTAATACACATGATTGCTCTGCGGTGATAAACGGCTAATAGGGTTAAAGCTAATCTGTTGCTAATGTATGGTATTGATGACTTACTGTGACCTAACCCAGTTACTATGCTCCAGTTATAGACGTGTGATTTCCACTCTATAGAGATCAATAGGCCATGATGATGATTTCAACTCTGTCTGGTGATCTCAGCTGTTTTTGCTGGGGCGGATGCACAAGTTGTTATGGGTTCTCTGTTTGGCTGTGCATTCTAACAAGGGTACTAACATCTATTTGTTTCTTTCTTTTTCTCTCCCTTATCCAATCACCTTTCTTCTCGTCTCACGTGTTCTGCTTTCCTTTATCCCGTGCGTCATTTCTTCTTTCCTCCTCCATCTAATTTTCAACACTGCCTCGCTCTTATTTGTTTTCTATTTCTGTCCTTCACCTCTGGCACCTTATCTCTCTCTTTGACTTTCATGTCCCCACCCACTTTCTTCTGCCTTCTGCCACTCTCTCTCAGTGTGACCAAGACCAGTGCATTCAGAGCACCAAATTCGTTTTGCAGGCCGCCGCCACACCTCTCCTCCAGCAGCAGAGTAGCGAGCCAGTCATCCTGACGGCCACCTCTGAAGACGGAGGCTCTCTACCCGGCCGCACCTCCCTCGCCCTGGGCGGCCCGTGCACCTCACTCCCCCTCGGCCAGCCCACGCCTCCGACGTCCACCCCCAGCCTCAGCTGCCACGAGGCCAACGACATGCTGCCAATGCACGGACACAGCCACACACACAACCACAGCCACCCCCTCCAGGAGCCGGTGGGCCACCACCACTTTCTTACCCCAGAGGAAGTGCCCTCGCCACCAGGTATGCTTCCTTGCGGCAGCCCCCTGGGTCACAGCCACACCATGCAGGCCGGCTTCTACAACCCAGCCAGCCAGGACTCACTACATGAGGACTCTGTGAGAGGATTGGTAAAGCTCAGCTCCGTCTGACAAAGGGATGTATACCACCTCCTCCCTCCTGAAAACATGCATCCAGCCCATGAAACCCTCCTGCCACTTTTGTACCAACTCGCTCTCACCTTGAGTTTGTTTTCCTCTCTCACCTCAGCAGGACTTGAGAACTGAAAAGGGCTGTGGTTTAAATTCAGCTGCTAGAAACTGAATGGAATTTATATGAACTGAACTGAAACCAGTTGTCCTCAGCCAATGTCTTGCCAAAACGTCTGCGCTGCTGGAACTGGGAGAGGAGATGTTTTCTGGTGTGATGCCCTGTATGACAGCTCGGACATCTGTATTTGTTTTTTTTTTTTTTTATATATTTTTTTTGTTTAACTTCAAGGGAAGCATAATCCATTAGCCCGCGGATACTGGAAAGGGGAGGGGTTTTTTTCTGTGTGGCGTAGGTCTGAACCATGTCAAGCGTTTTGACATTACATGACATTTTTTGGTCAAAATGATGAATTTCCATCAATGGATTACAGGTCTGACAGGTTTTTCTTTTGTAAAACAAACATTAGCCTATTTGCCTGTTGCTGATTGGACGGTGTCTTTTGCCTTTTTGTTTTTGTTCTTGGACATTCTCAGCAGTGCAATGGTTGAAGTCATGTTGCATATCATCCTGCTTTTTCTATGTTTAAAAAAAAATAAGAGACTGTTGTACTGTACCATGGTTATTACAAATCTTACAAATTATTATATTTCCCGTGGATATTAATAAAACGCCAACTTTTTATCAGATGTGATTGCATTAATATTGAGGCTTAGTAGCCATAATATTTGCTAATGTGAGAGTCATGTGATCATTACATTTCCTTTTAAGTGAATCTTGTGATGCCTCACGCCTGTGGTCATTTGGCTGATTAAAAACAAGCCTGTCTGATGAATGTTGCTAAACATTTATGGACGTTCAAACAAGGTTAAGACTCTCTTTAGGTCCTTCGGTCTTCTATTCATCCTGACAGAAGTCCTGGGAAGCCTCAAGCACCAACCTTTGAAGCGTACAGACTTAAACAAGGACTCCATTTCCAGTTACATTTAACTTCATTTACATGAAGTGATTTGTGTGTGCCTTTTTTTTAAATAGATAATAGATAATATAGATAGTTCACTGACTGGCAAGTAAAAGGCAGTGGACAACATTTCAACATTTAATTCTCTTCTACCACCTTGTGGTAAAGCAGAGGTACTGCAGTTGAAAGTGGCATTTTTCTTAGATTTTAACTAATAAAATGATTAGACACAGTCAGTCATTAGACACTAGTAAAGGACTTGCAGATGTCTTCCTCAGCTCTACAGAGCATTTTTAGCACTTCCAGCCCATAAATTCACTGTTTTAGTTTCATTCTGTCAACTAACTTGGCCTTGTTTCAAGACGCAGCAGACTGGTTTTCAGTCAAAAAAACCCAACATTTTTGTGCTACTTTGGCTGCACCGAATGGTTGTAAGACAAGGTTAGCGATTATCTACCTCCTGTAGCTATAGTTAGCTGGAGCAGAAAGAGGAATATTTAGCTGAAGACCCCGTGATGTTGTGTTTGCAGCCTGTTGCACTGCCCCCTACTGACATTATAAACAGTGGATACAAATGATAATAACACATTTATTTATTATTAAATCATTTGATACATAGGGAAGAGTTTTCGTACATATTTTACAACAGTTACAACAGACGGGGCGGGGGGGGCACATGACATTGGAAAATAAATGTCCCAGATGTTTTTTTACTTTTCATTTTGGAGCAGGATTGATAACTGCAGCACAGAGTGGGAGAGCGATGAGGCAAGACATGGTCACAGATGCAGGACTACTATATTCTATAGCTTGCATAAATATTGCAAAATGTCATTTGTTAGGGTATTGAAATAGTTTAAAAGGACCCTGTACTGCACTGTGCTTGAGTTCTGCTGCACCATTACATGTTAAATTGACTTAAATGTCAAAAGAGCATGGGACGCTATCATGTGTTAAAGAATCCTGAGGATTACGACCTTTAATAGCAGACTAAACTTAAATGTGGGTATACCGTAAGTTGGCACGTCCTATTTAATTAACATTTTATGTAAAAATAAACTGTAGATGAAAATGATTTTGACCATACATCAAAAATGTTCAAAAAGAAAAAGTAACCACTACTAATTATTTAGTAATGATGACAAATGTTTCCAATCATTTTATATTAGCTGTACAATAAATTAGTCTTTATTGGGCCTTGCTCCAAAAGAATGGCATCCTTTAGTTTCATTCATTGTTTGCATTTGCTGACTGTCTTGGCTTTTAAACAAAGCCAGTAAGTACTTGAGTGCTTAATAACATTTACACATATTTCCTGTTTTAATTATACAGTGCACTAATGGCATATCACAGCAGAGATGCACTAGAGAAAGTACAAGAAATGAACCAAGGCAAACCTAACTTGTAGCTGTAAACAGTCATGGTGGCTCACAGCCTGATGCTCCAGCACAGCTAACTCATGCATCAGTCGTCTAGCCGGGGCTGGAAACATGGACCATTAATGCTCCATGGCAGGACCAGCCCATGCTACTTGGTCATCAAAAATGCTATACTAGCTTAAAATCAGACTTCTGGTTGCTGCAAGACTAACCTAACCTGAAATCAGCACAGGTTTTGCCATTTCCAGCATCCATTGTCTGGGTCTTTGTGGCTAAGCTAGTTTAGCATCAAAAACCAGAACACAACAGTGTCTTTAACGCTGGCTTCTATGTTAAGTCTAGAGTCCCGAGTCACCACAGTTTCACATCAGTGAGCTCCAGGTCCCCCATGATCTCCAACTGGTCAATGCTGCTCAGGTCCTGCACCCGATGTCTGAACTCAAACAGGTGTGAGCCATTCACTGCCAGCTTGAACTGGTGGGGCTGACAGAGGATGAGAATCTGACAACAAAAAAAACCCCACTGAGGATAGGTCAATTATTTCTAAGCACATAGACATAGAGACATATAGTTAGATATTACAAATCTAAAGTGGTAAACACCCTACACAGATACAGCAGTGAATTTGTAGGTGGTTCCTACCTCAAAGTACTCCCCTGACGAGAAGGGAAAGAAGGGCAGCTCCCGCTCCTCCTGACCCCAGGACTCGCTCAGGTACGAGTTCCTGGTGAACATCCCCGACTTCATGCGAGGGTTCAGATGAAGAGCGATGTTCTCTGTCCTGCTGTTGCGGAGGTTCACTGTAAAACTGGAAGACACGTGGACTAGAAGGTAAATCTTTTTTTAATTTTTTTTATTAAGAAATGCCCAGAGGGAAATGTTAATTGACATTAGTAGTTCAAATCAGCGAGACATGCAGATTGCTCTTATTTGTTATATTGAGGTGAATTTCTTCTGGTACTTTACCTGTGAGGATACATGCTGACCTGTCCTTTGATTGTAATGTGCTGTCCAGGCATCAGTCCTTTGAGTATACTGCCTTTGTAAGGGAGGCTCTGGAATAAGAATATATTATAATTATAGATTAATCTGCTGATTATTTTCTCAGGAAATCATTTAGTCTAGAAAAACTATGAAAAATCCCCAATATAATTTCCCACAATCCAAGGTTACGTCTTCAAATACATTATTCCGATTACTGTCACAGGCCTACATCACAAAGAAAAGCAGTAACTCACATTTGAGAAACTGAGGCAAATGTTTGGCATTTTTGCTTAAATTTTTTTTCCGATCAACTAATCAATTAAAGTTAAAATCTATAAATTTTCCGTATTAAAATTTCTGAAAACAACTAGACCTATGTTATGTATTTTGTTGAGGTGTGTACTTACATAATACCAAATGTTTTCAACAATTTTCAAAACTATAGTAATCCCTAATTTCAGTCAAGGTAATGGTGCGTTTCCTTTGGTCACCAACCAATGGCGCCATATTGCCTTTGCGCATGCATTACTGTTGTGGTGTTCTGCCAGAATCAGTCAGTTTTAAGCCAATTTTTTATAATAATACACTTTGTAGATCTTAGTTGTTACTACTGTATATTTTAACCAGATGAAGGATTTTACTCGTCGGATGTCTGGATCTTAAGTTATTTGAGATATAAGCTGAGTGAACGTTAGCAGTAGCTCAGCTCTCAGCATCCTGTTGTCCGCCGAACAGCTGATTTTTAACATTCAGTGTTTATACTGGTTTTTAATCTGCAGATGTGTTTGTTCTGGAATAGAGGAGACTGCTGTGGATTATTGGGTCGCTCTGAAAATCCAATTTATTACAACTTTGGCGTTATTTTCATAGTTCTGGTCATCTATCTGTAATAATAACATTACAGTTACCAAATTAATTGTTTAGATTAGATTAGAAGTCACAATCAAGTACCAAATAAAGTGGTTTAGATCATCTAAGCTGTTGGCTTGTTTACATCTGTCTGGTTGCCTGAAGGCTCAAGTTGTAATAAACCAGATTTGTCCTTTAAAAGTCTGAGGGGCACATGCTAAATTAAACAGTCTGCAGTGCACAAACAGAGGAATCATTGAGGACATGTGCTCCAGTTTTAGTGGCGTCACAAGATGCTGGGCACATATAGGCACAGAGGTTTTGTGTAGATGACGCAAAAAGAACAAACTCACCAAGTCACCTGATTCTGAATATATTGCCTAGAGAGAGAAAAGGCAAAATTTAGAGATTATTAATCAGATATGTCTATAAAACAAACACACATGTGATCAGCTTGTGAGGACAAAATAAAGCAAACAAGGGATGGGAAATCTACTTACTGAGTTTGGGATGTAGCCAATAGCGTGCACCTTGACTTTGCCAGATATAGAAAATGTGTCAACCCTGTTTAGTGGGATTTTGTGCTTGTATTCCAGCAGGTGAGCACCATTTACTGCCACCTATGGGTGAAGACAAGTCTTTCAGTATCCTATTTTTCTATTACTTACATTGCTGTGCGCATTTGTTGTTTTTAAGTACTACACAGGCTTATCCTTCATTCTCAACAGCAGGGGTTCACTGACCTTGAAGACGTCTTCGTGCACCAGGATGATGGTCTCGAAGGGGGCTCCGCGTTTGTAGGGCAGCTGATGGAGCGTTTCCTCTTTGCCCCAGCTCTCCTGCAGCAGGGAGTTACATACCACACAGGGCGACCCTTCGAAGCGAGGGCTGAAGTGGAGGGCGACGTCAGAGCGTGGCTTGGTGCTGCAGCCGCTCGACAGGTCCATCTGAAACCTGCAGAGAGGGTTTATGATTATTTTACTTTATGTTCACATGGCGCATAATTTCAAATAAGGTTGTGTTTAATCAACCACAACTGACATAACAGGGTGTGACAAACCACAGAGATTAGTAGCTGAGGAGTCAAAAGTGTGGTGCGGTGCCACTGGATGGTCAGCCAGAGGACAACAAGTATTTATAACGCTTAAGTTTCTTTGAGCAACACACTGCGCTGTGGCCAAATCTGACCTCTGACCTCCAGGCGGAGGAGGCACAACTCAAGTCATAGCTGAGCTAAAACAAATCCAAGCTGATCTTGTAGGTGATGTCATTATAAATGGATCTAAAAGCTGTGAGGGGAAATATGCTGGACAAAACAGATTTTACTCCACTGTGCCCACAGAACTAGACTAGTTGTTCCCAAACGGATTTGTCCATTACAATGTTTCATTGTCCATCAACACCTTAAAAAAAGCCAACCTTTACATGAAATACAAAAAATATACATTACCCAATATAACCAACAGCATATTTTACTTATGTGCAAAATTACACAAACAAAATCTAGTTCAATTAAGTCAGCAAAAGGGTTTTTTCAGGGTGATTAAGAATAAGCTTATACATTTTAGTTAATGATAAAGTTACATCCATTTTATTTGGATTTGAATTTTGGGAGATGAACAGAAATCCATGTGGTCATTTTAGCTGAGAAGGCTGCCAGTGTCTGTGTGTTGTATAGGTGGGTGAGTGCTATAGTTTGAAACATTTTTGGGACCCACAGTGAACGGTAAACGGTCTGTATTTGTATTGCGCCTTTTACGTCTTTCCGACCTCTCAAAGCACTTTCACACCACATCACATTCACACACTGATGAGCAGAGGCTATGGTACCAACTGCTCACCTGAAACAGAAACTCGTTCATACATTACATTTCATACATTGGGGTTCAGTGTCTTGCCCAAGGACACTTCAACATGCAGGGATCGAACCACCGACCTTCCAATAAGTGGATGGCCACTCTACCCCCTGAGCCACAGCTGCCCTTACTGAACTACACACAGGGTTTGAAGTTTTGCAGATAAAAGTATCACAGGCTCTGGGGTTTACTAATCAAATCTTACACATATCCTTAAGGGTGGCACCTCCTCAGTATACCTCTCTAATTTAATTACATCTTACCTGTCAGCATCTGGGGGCACGGTGCCCTGGACGATGATGATCTCCCCAGGGTGCAGACCTCCAGGTATGGGCCCTGTGTATGGGATCACCTGAGGTGGAGAGCTGACGTTAAAGCACCGGAAACCTGCACTGACTGCAGCTGAAGACATGAAATGAGGGAGCTAACATGAAACGCCTCTGTGTGTCATATATTAGCAGGAACAAACACAACACAGCGACTTGCACACAGTAACAAGCTGTATTAATAAGCTACATGAGGGTCTATTGATCATCGCATGATGGCATCAGAGGGATGTGGATAATGATAATAAGCCTCTTACCGGATTCAGGACAGTGTGTTTCGCATTTGCCACAGACATCAGGCTTCTCGTGTCAGACATGCAACATGCAGCTGTGCTGAAAGACAACGGAGTCTGTGGTGTCTGCGGTAAATATGACCGGTTTTGCAGCTCTCCTGCACTACACAGAGATGATGGCAGTTGGCATCTTCTCTCCATCAGCCCTTAACACCACGCGGCTGCGCAAAGGCTACCACGTGATCGGGTCAGCTGGACGCTGAACAACAACAGAGGTGCAATGTCACTTATTTTATACTGTTAAGCTTTTTTTTAATGTCATAAGCTACAGTTAAGAGAAAAGCTGTTTAAAAAAAATCCATAGCTAGTTAGTTGAGTTTCAACTTCCTGTTCTTGATCCCCGTCGCCCTCTTCTGTTCAGCAGGAATAAAGCCTCCTGGAGTGTCATTTCCCAAGAAACCAAAGCTGGTCAGACTAGAAGAAATGGGTCCTGGTCGGTATCGCAGACGCTAGTGATTATTTTCTTTTCTCATAACGTATAGCCTGTGCTTTCCTTATATAATTTTAACAATGCCAAGATACCATAGCTACTGTCTTTGATGAAACCAGATGAAACGTTAACCTCTGTTTTCTATCCTTTTTCTCAGGAAAAGCTGCCGCCATTGGAGCAGGAGTAGGTAAGAGTCTTCATGGATCACCTGTGTTGATTTGTTAGACTGACTTTAACGCTCTTGTCTCTGTGCAGTCGGCGTAGTTGCGGTGGCGGCGGCTCCTGTTGCCTTGGCCGGTGTAGGTTTCACCTCGGCTGGAATAGCAGCAGGCTCCTACGCTGCCGGCATGATGTCTGCTGCTGCAGTCGCAAACGGAGGAGCGGTGGCGGCGGGAAGCACCGTGGCTGTTCTGCAGGCAGCAGGTAAACAGCATTAACCTACTTGATTTTTTTTATGGTGATTGTTTTTAATAGTGAGATGATCAATACCGGAACTGTAATCAAAGGGGTATCATGGACAAACCAGGAACTGAAACAACAATAATGTCACAATAGAGACAAGGTAATTTTCTGTTCCAACACTTCCTGATCTCTATCGGGGGTTATTAAAGTAGGGCCTACATAGATGCACTTAAATAATCCTCCTGTATCATTATTTTTTTGTAGGCCTACATGTGTGCTAGTATTTGGGCCAGAATGAACATCTGTTAGATTGTTTTGTGTAATGTATAGGTCTACTCCTTTTCTTAGGAAAAAGGAGCTTCCACTGTGGCCCAAGGATTTTCTCTGTTTCTTTGGGTCAGACGCTCTGGGCTATGAGCTCTCTGTCCCATGTGAAAAAATGTTCTCACTTTACTAAATATCACAGTGTAACTTATTTGTTTATGTGGATAAATAGTGCAGTATTCAACAAAACACAGCACAGTACAATTTAATAATACTATATACTGTGATGACAATAGTACTACTGTGTTGGCCTGTTGGTTTGAGAGCAAGGCTTTCTCAGCTTCTCTGTGACTGGATACCTTGAATAAAAACCTGTGTAATCTTGCTGTAGGTGCAGCTGGTCTGTCAGGAGCTGCCACTGCAGCTGTGGCCAGTGTTGGCGCAGCAGCTGGCGCAGCAGCTGGAGCAGCAGCGGGATGGGTGGCCAGCTTCTTCACCAAAAAATCAAACAATAAATGATTTTGAAATATATATTTATTGAATGTATTCATGCATTAAATCTCTAAAAACATACCGTGTCATCTGTAATTATCTCCATTCCTCATAACTTCTACCTGAAAGCACTGAGTGAGAAAATAAATGAAAGTGTTCACTGGTTCACTAAGTTGTTTTTTTTTTTTTGGTTTTGTTCTTTTTGTGACCACAGTAAAGTTGTGGGCTGTAAAACCAAAACACTGATGAATAATCCAATGAATCTCATACAGCAGAGGGGAACTGCATAGTTAGGAAATTTTCAGCTGTGGATTCATAAGAGCAGCACCTTTTACTTTACATTCATTTGATCGATTTGTTGGAATATGGATTAGTGCCTCTAACACCATACTTGCTATCAGCCCATACCACTGGATCTGTTGTTTCCTGTGGTGAAGGAGACAGTGGGTTAAGGCCCTTGGCCCTCAGCACTGGTGCCTATCAGGGCTGTGTCATATCCCACTGGCTCTTTTCCTTATACACCAACAGTTTCATAGCCCAGCATAGTTCAGTAACCATCCTGCAGTATGCTGATGTTACAAGCACAATAGGCCTCATACCCCAAAACAAGGAGTTCTGTTATGTTCATCACAGACTCATTTACAGTTCTTGTCATACAATTGAATATTTCTCAGACTGCATAAACAAAAACAGCCCAGCAGAGGCGGTTCTTCCTCAAAACCACTGAATCCTCCTGCAGTGTTATACAGCCATCATTGAAAGTGTCCTCAGTACATCTACAACAGTTTGGTACAGCAGCATAGACGCTCACACTCCCATTGTCAACAGATGCTCCAAAACCACAGGCTCTCCGCTCCCATCAGTTGAATCACTGTACAACAAATTCAGAATCAAATGGGCAAGTACAATATGTAACCCATCTCATCCTGCTCTCTGCCTGTTTCAGCCTCTGCCCTCTGGGAGGCACTACAGGTCCTTTTCCACCAAAACAATTTTTTTTCTGCACCAAAGGACTAAATTTTGTCTGTGGCATTGTGATACATTCTGCTCTTCATTATCTAGGAATATTGTGATTATTATTTATTGTGTATTTAGTTACATCTTCCTTTGTGTTGTGCTGCTGACGCTGCGTACTGAGTTTTTTTCCCCATGTTGTACTGAAAACAAATTCCAGGTGGCTATTAATGTAAAGTGAGGTGAAATGTCATCCTCATGGTTGCGTCAGAGGAAAAGCCAGGAGGTCAACCAGAGTGAGTAGGTTTCATCATGTCAGTATGGTCTGTTTCTGTTTTTGTGAATACAGGCTTAATATAAATGCAGTTATTGACAATAATCCACTGCATCTGTGTCTATTATGACACTCATCATTGGATATATTCACCTGTTTCTGAAAACTTGAACAGCAAAGGATTCAGATGTTGCCCGTCTGAAAGAAAATGAGTTTTTAATTTCACCCAGTCTAATCATGAAGGGACTTTCAACTGAGGAGGGACTTCACTGATAAGAGTCTAGTATTGCATCAAGATTTAATTGAGTTTTCACCTTTTACTGCAATCAACTGTCAGTGTACATGAACATAAATGGTGAAGACATTATATCCTCAAAGTTGCTGCAGGTCCTGCATGCTAGAACAACACTTGTATGATCTCTTAAATATACAAACTTAATTTTGTACTTTAGTAATTACGTTGATCTTGATCGGAGCCACCAAAACCTACAGGGTCAAAAGTTTTTTTCAGTGACTTAAAGATGAAAGTCTGTCCTGAAGGCAGGTTTGAAGGAGCAGTCAGAACTAAACTATTTCAACAACTCTTTAGTTGTTTCTGTTTGTCATCTGATGCTCCAGTTACAGTCATGACTTACCACCTTAGAAATGTTTACTTGAGTTCATTTGGGTTAAATTGACGCAGGGACTCGGTGACGCCCTCACAGAGCGCGTGTTCAGATATGAACATAGTTTAATTTGTCAAGAAACGAAACCTAACACTCAGTATATAAAACTGTCCACTTCAATGGTCATCACAGAGAAAGACCACCATGGACCGTGGTGAGTTGAAATTTTTCCTTTGATGATACTGATACATTTTCCAAATGTATGTGTCTTTATAAAAATGTAATAATGATTTTAAGTGACCATAGAAAATGACTTTGATTTGGTTTCAGTCACTGCAATCGCTGTTGGAGCAGGAGCAGGTAAGTCTTTGAAAAACCTTTATGGATCACTTGTGTTTACTTTTCCAACTTATTTTAATACACACTAATCTACAAAAGTCATGTAGATGTTAGACTAAACCCGATTTTAGGCTATCGTGTGCAATCCAGTGGCCAAACAAATTAACACACTGTCATTAGCAACAACGTTTTTTCTGTTGTCTTCTTGTCCCTGTGCAGTAGGAGCTGTGGTCGCAGCTCCTGTTGCTCTTGGGGTTGCAGGTTTCACCTCGGCTGGAATAGCAGCAGGTTCCATAGCTGCTAAAATGATGTCAGCTGCCGCAGTTGCTAACGGAGGAGGAGTGGCTGCAGGCAGTTTAGTGGCTACTTTGCAGGCAGCAGGTAAACACCATAACCTTTTTTTTTATGAATGTTAATCTAGTAGTTTTAACTTTTCTTACCAAAAAAATCTTAATTTAAGTGTATCAAAATACTTGTAATGCTTTTCCAAGGTACCATGAAATCACTTGGCAAACCCTCTGTCGGTCTATTGGATTTATCCCTTCACCAGAACACTGACTCAGCTGATTAGGTGGACAATGTTTGAAAACTACAGCGTTTCTCTGATAAATCTGACATATATTAACAGAGCAAATATTAACATGTGAACACCCAGATGAAGGTTAGCTTTAAAGTTGCCAACAGTTTAATGTTTAACTAACAGTTCTCTAATGAGTCATAATTGTTTGGTAATGTAGGGCCTTCTTTGCGTCATCTGATCTACAACAATCCAGTGGGGGATGGGTTGACAACCTGCTGTTTAACTGCGTTGTAGCACAAAGTTGTTAATGACAGTAAGGCACATATGTGTGCATTGAACAAGTTACACCATCACATGGCATTGTAAAAGTAGCCTAATGTTGTAACAACTATGAAAATGCTTTATTATAATTTTTTTTCGTGCACAACCGACAGAAACTTAAGAAGTGCTGAAAGTATCAGGAAACATTTACAATGACCGTGAGGGAGGTCCTAAGGCATTTATTAGTTTCTGACTCTGATGGGGGAAAAACAGTTTCCAAAAAACTACTGTATCTCTGAAGACTCACCCATGTAGGCTATGTGATCTCCTTTTGATAACTAATGCAATAAGTAATGTAATATTGTTTCACTTCCATTCACTGAGCCTCCCCTGAAGCAGTTTGGAGCCCCCCACCTCACACTTTGAAAACCCCTGAGCTAGAACATTATGTAAATCGGTAAATATTTTAGCCTAGGGTACTAAAACAAACACCAAAAGTTAACATGAACTGTTAAGAATTATTTTATGCTAAAAATCGATGGAAAGCTGGCAACCCGTTTCTCACCTTGACCTTCTTCTTCAGCTCTGGATCAATTTTCTGTTCTGATCTCAACAAGTCTGGGTAAATCGCTGAACCAATTAGAAGCAGCATTTTTATGATTTAAGTATTTTACAATATTTTTAAACTACAAAGTACAAACACTAAAGTAATTTGATACAAAATATAAAGCTATTTCATATCAACCCTCAAATACAAATTATAAAATCCTATTTGTATTTGAAACACGTATTTTAAATACATGTATCGTAAATACTGTCTATCCCTATACCTAGAACTGTCAAATCTGAACTAAACTGCCACAGTTTGTCAAGATTTTGTAAAACACTGTTTCAGATTTGTGAAAATCTATTTTTCTTCTTTCTTTCTTTCTTGTTTTTCTCTTAAGTTAGTTAAGTTCCTGCAGCAAAAACTGCCAGACCAAAACTCACCAAAAGTGGCAGTTGGGTTGTAAATTCCACCCACTACTCAGGCGCATAGAAATTCACTCATTGACCTCATGGTGGCGCTGTAACAATCAACTTTATGTTTTTGCAATTGTCTCGAAACAGCTTCTTTCATCTGTTAAGGCAGAAAATTGTGTCCTCTTACATTTAATCTTTTATGTATGTTCTTTTACCATTTTTATTATTACTATTGTTATAACTAATTTTGTTATGGTTTATAGATACGTATTGTGTTTTATCCTTAACCTTTCCTCTCCTATACTCCTTATGTTAGTCTGTCCACATTTACTAGGGTTTAGGTCAGAGCTGTGAGATTGTTGGTGTTTTCCTCTCGTTGTTTCTCTCCTCTCCTAGAATGTTCATTCGAGCCCGAGAGAGGATCTCTGTTCCCCAAAACATAGAAACCTAGACTGTGTAAATGATGATGCAGCCCTTTGCTCAGGGCCAGATCCGACGCCTGAAGCTGCCCTAGACAGCAGGTCTCTGGACCAGCTGTATATGTGTTTTAGTACTTCTCTGTTTATTCTCTTTTGTTAATGAAGTCTTCAAAGACAACGGTTGGTTGTAACTCAATTTGTGGTGTAGCCTGACTCAAACATCGTATGTTCCCAGATGTGATTGTTTTATTTACAGTGGTCTGCAGTACACAACAAACAAACAGACTTAAGAAAATAACTCATTAAACTTATAGCACCACTAACAAAAGGCACATGTTAACAACCACACAGCCTCACCTCTTTCCCCCCTTGGGAGCACAAATCCCTCCATTTATATAGGCTGTTCAATTCACACCCAAACTGCTTCAGCCCATCCCTTTCTGATGCAGGTTGATCTACTCCATAACATTACTACCTAGAACTCTCTTAACATTTGGAATTCAGTTACTAGTTCACTCCGCTCCAACTGACTAGAAAACAGGTCAGGGATATTTACACATTTATTTATAATAACCAAAAACAACCAAAAAAAACATTCCTTTAAAGGAAGAAACCCTCTACTTGGTTTGGCCCGGTGATGTCATCCATGACCACCCTATTCCTATAAAACAGGAAATGCTTAGGCCGGCCCCTCCCCAAACAACTGTCCTGCATGGTCGAACTGAACAAAGGAACAAACAATTGTAAGTATTAACACAGGAAAAAAATGAAACCAGGTTTAAACTTGCAACCTAATAAAATGGAGCTGAAACTAACTTATGACTGTGTGTTTACTTTAACTTATCATATGCTTTGCTGTAGACTGTAACATAATGCAAACACAAACAACCCGGGATAGTAAGTGGTGCACTTTAAACAAGCTATGGTAAATTACAAAAAAAAAACACTTGTATAAACTAGAAGGTGTACTATAGATAATAACCTGTATGGGACAAGTGGTGCGCAAACCCACTTTGGCACACAATTATTTGCTTAATCCCTCACCAGGAATATAATTTCCACGACATCATTTTAATCTCTGAATTCTTCTGCACTAAAATGACAAATTGTACTTCTTTTTCTAACTTTTCTCCAAAACCTATTTTTGCAAACTTGACAAACACCGTTTAGCCAGTCGTTCAGAAACTTTGCAAGGATTACCTACGGACTGATCTAAAGTTATCAAAAGAATATTGATATGTCAATCAGTTTACTTTTACAAATAATCATTACTTTTGTTTCTTAACATACAATTTTACATAAATTCTCGCAAATCAAAATTGGATGAGGAGCACTTGTTTGGATGCTCAGTCCGAGCTTCGCTGAGCAGTCCTGGGATCTTCTGCCACTAGGGTGTGCCACAAATGCGAAAAGCGCATTTTTAGCCCGATTTGCTGCTCGGAGAATTCAGCGACCATCAGGCTGTGATCGGGAGTAAATCTGCAGCCGCCAGACTAGGCTACTCAACAATGCACCAAAACGGCTCCCCGACACATTTCTGACACATCACTGACGATTGCAAGATATCTCTCATGCCAAATATCTGGAGGAGTCAGCTGACTCGACATCCACATCCAGCCGTGAGAGCTGGCAGAGCAGGCAGCTACTTTTTCACTGCAAAACACTTCTTACTCCCTTCCAGCTCTCTCTGTAGCTCAGACAATCCCTGCTACCTGCGTGTGCTAAAAGTGCAACAACAACATAAGAACCTACACAAATATCTCATAAATCTGGACTTGATTATTTTAAAAACAGTATAATCTTGCTGTAGGTGCAGCTGGTCTGTCAGGAACTGCCACTGCAGCTGTGGCCGGCGCTGGAGCAACAGTGGGATGGATGGCCAGCTTCATCCCCAGGAAATCAAAGAATGTCTGTGAGAAACTGCCACTGGAGTATCAGCTGGAGCATCAGCTAGAGCAAGAGCTGCAGCATCAGCTAGAGCTGCAGCTGGAGCTGCAGTGGCAGAAGCACTGGGATTGCTGGCTAGCTTCATCAGATGAAAATCAGGAAAGAACACGTACGGGGTTGTGAGCACTCTTTTATATCATGTACCTGCTATTTATCTCGGTGGAAAAAGCAGAGAGAGATAGTTGTAGGGCTTATAGGTGCTGTACAGTGCCAAAAACAGTGATGAAGGCAATGAAAAAAATTAAGTTGTCATAAATCGGGAGAAATTGAGAGAATTATGACCCCGAGAAGGCAATGAAAAACAGGAGGGCTGGCAAGTATGCTTTGTGCAATAAATTTAAAACCTGTCAAAGATACTGGGTCAGTGTGTCATCTGTAAATATTTCTATTCCTCATAATGTCCACCTGAAAGGACTGAGAGAGTAAATTAATGAAAATATTCATTAACTTTTAATCTGACCACAGTAATAACACAGTAACACTGGCATTTCTGGCAGCATTTCTACTATGAAACAATAACTTTAAAATTGTGGTTTGTCCAGACTTTTGAATGGGTTGGGCCCATGCACACACACACACTCTCTAGCTTTGTGTTTTTACAGGATTTTGACCACACCACAGCACTGAGACAGCTCTTGTTAAGGTCTTCAATGACATCCATTTGAACACTGACAGTGGCAGAATTTCAGTCTTAGATTTACGTAACCATATCACCAGGAGATTGTATGATATGTATTGAACAAATTAACAATTGGATGTGCCAGAATTTTCTTCAATTAAACAAAGATAAAACTGAAGTTATTGTTTTTGGAGCCAAGGATGAACGATTAAAAGTCAGTGCTGAGCTTCAATCGGTAAACCACAAACCAAGCCAGAAATCTTGGTGTGGTCATGGACTCAGACCTGAATTTAAGCAGCCACATTAAGACAATTACAAAGTCAGCCTACTATCACCTGAAGAATATTTCAAGAATTAAAGGCCTTATGTTTCAGCAGGACCTGGAAAAGCTTATCCATGCATTTATCTTCAGTCGTCTCAACTACTGTAACGGTATCTTTACAGGGCTCCCTAAAAAATCCATCCGACAGCTGCAGCTGATTCAGAACATCCTCACTAAGACCAAAAAAGTGGATCACCTCACTCCAGTTCTGAGGTCTTTACACTGGCTTCCTGTCTTTTAGAGAATCAATTTTAAAATCCTGCTGTTAGTTTATAAAGCACTGAATGGTTTAGGGCCAAAATACATTTCTGACCTTCTGCTTCGTTATGAACCATCCAGACCTCTTAGGTCATCTGGGACAGGTCTGCTTTCTGTCCCCAGAGTCAAAACTAAACGAGGAGAAGCAGCGTTTAGTTTTTATGCTCCATGTATCTGGAACAAACTCACAGAAAACTGCAGGTCTGCTGAAACTCTCAGTTCTTTTAAATCAAGACTGAAGACTTTTCTTTTTACCACTGCCTTTAACTAGTAGATTGATAACTTACACTGCACTGTAACATTTACTGTCCTGTTTTCTTTTTCCTTGTTTTAAGATTTTCCATCAACACTATTTAAAAAGCTTAGAGTGCTCTTTTGATTCTACCATCTCACACGTCTGATCCTCAGTTAATAGGGCCAAGTAGAATTACAAGGATTAGAGTCCCTGTTTTGACAGGGCCCGCTGTCAGCCGCTTTTACCAGAGTTTGTAGCATGGATGATCTGGATTTACAGTAATGACTGTATCTAAGTGTCCCTGTGTATCCCAAAGTGTTAAAGGGTTAGAGTCCCCTTAGGGTTAGAGCCCCTAAGTGTTAAAGGGTTAGAGTCCCCTTAGACTCCCCTTAGAGTCCCTAAGTAACTTGCTGAGCAGGGTCCCGCTGTCAACCGCTTTTACCAGAGTTTGTAGCGTGGACAATCTGGATTTACAGTGATGACTGTATCTAAGGAATAAGGGTTAGAGTTCCCTTAGGGTTTGAGTCCCTAAGTGTAAAAAAAAGGGGGCGATAGAGTGGGGGATGGGGAATCAAAGGAGTAAAATAAGCAAAGATGAGAGACCTGCCTGTTTTTATTTTCTATTTAACTTTTTTTTTTTTTACTTTTTAAAACTTTTTTATATTTCCCTGTTGCTTTTATGTTTTATGTAAAGCACTTTGAATTACCTTGTTGTTGAAATGTGCTATACAAATAAACTTGCCTTGCCTTATAGTAATCCCTATTAGTAACCCCCGATTTCACAAAATATACCTGTAAAATAAGACATAGTCAGATTGATCATCTGATGTTCCAGTTATAGTCCTGACTTACCACCTCAGAAATGTTTACTTGAGTTCATTTGGTTTCAGTGAGGAGGAGGGCTCTGAGACGCCCTATAATTTCTGAAGAAACCAAACTTAGGCTGTATAAACCAGCGCAGTTCAGTACGGAGAAGGATAGCATGGACCCTAGTGAGTTTTCACTTTTCCTTTCAGATATAGTTTGTTTAAATTAGACTAGGCCTACTTGTACCTTTTCCTTGTATGTTTTCTTTATAAAAATGTAAAAATGATAGTAACCATAGCAAATGTAATGTATAGCTATAAATATTGTTTTCTGTTTTCATCTTGTTTCAGTTACGGCACTCCTCGTTGGAGCAGGAGCAGGTGAGGAAAAGTTTAATGGATCACCTGTGTTTACGAATGATTAACACACACACAAATGTTAAACTAAACATAATGTTAGGCTGTCATGTGCGATCCAGTGGCCTAACAAATGAACACACTTACCAACAGCGTTTCCTCTGCTGTGTTCTTGTCCCTGTGCAGCAGGTGCGGTGGTCGCAGCTCCTCTTGTTCTGGCCGGTGTAGGTTTCACCTCGGCTGGAATAGCAGCAGGCTCCTACGCTGCCGGCATGATGTCTGCTGCTGCAGCTGCTAACGGAGGAGCGGTGGCTGCAGGCGGTTTAGTGGCTACTTTGCAGGCAGCAGGTAGACCTAAACACCATTACTTATTTTTCAAGTTTATTTTAAACTTGTAGTATTCATTTTCAATTTAACGTTCTGCTTTGAGAACACCATTAGGCCTACTTGATTTTTCCAGATGAATTTTACTCTTGTGATTTGTGTGTCTTACTATTGCAACATTGAAGTTAGCTTCCAATTCGCCAGTCAATGGGAATCCTTCGATCCTCCGTTTTGCACCTCTTTATGTTTGTGAAAGCCTGTTAGACATAGGCCAAGCCATAAAGCAGTCTGAAACCCACTTTCAGATTTGTAAAACCTTTATTGTATTTGTGAAATTGCAAAAAAAGGAGATTTTTCACAAGGTGAAGATCCAAAAACACTGTAGACCTGTCAAATCAAGTCATAAGTGGTCCCAGAGAGGCTAAAGAGGCTAAACAATTTTTTTGCGAATTGTGAAATCTGTATTCTAAAACAATGCAACCTACACAGGTGTCTCACAAACCTGGAATTGAAAGAAACAATAATATCAAGGAATAATAGCTTTGGGTTTACATTACATTGTTTAGGTATAATATAATGTCACTACTGTGTATAATAGTGCTAGTTTCATTTAACATTTCTCAGCTTCTCTGTAGCTCAATACCCTAGATGGAAAATCTGTGTAATCTTGCTGTACTTAGGTGCTGCTGGTCTGTCAGGAACTGCCACTGCAGCTGTGGCCGGCGTTGGAGCAGCAGTTGGAGCAGCAGGCTCCTACGCTGCCAGCATGATGTCTGCTGCTGCAGGTGCAAATGCAGGAGCGGCGGCTGCAGGAGGTACGGTGGCTGCTTCTTAAAAATAATTTTAACCTTGTGGTTAAAAAGATTATCATTGCTTGAATGATAATCACATATGTGCCCTAACATGTCTTTCTAAAGTGCACAAGTGTCTTGCAAACCTAGAATTGATTTTAAAAAATACATGTGTAATCTTGCTGTAGGTGCAGCTGGTCTGTCAGGAGCTGCCACTGCAGCTGTGGCCGGCGCTGGAGTAACAGTTGGAGCAGCAGTGGGATGGATGGCTAGCTTCATCAGAAAATCACAGAATGTCAGTCAGGAACTAGCACAGGAGCAGCAGCAGCTAGAGTATCAGCAAGAGCAGCAGTCACAGCATCAGCTAGAGCAGCAACTGGAGCAGCAGTGGGAGCAGCAGTGGGAGCAGCAGTGGGAGGAGCAGTGGGAGGAGCAGCTGGAGCAGAAGCTAGAGCAGAAGCTGGAGCAGAAGCTGGAGCAGAAGCTGGAGCAGCAGTGAAAGGAGCAGTGGGGTCGCTGGCAAACTTTATCAGATGAAAATCATGAAGGAAAAAGATTAATTACAATTTTTTTTAAATTACAAAATATATTAATTGACTTACTAAAAAGCATAATTCATACTTCACAACCTTGAGACCTCCAAAATCGGCAGTGGGGGGTGGGGGTGCACTCTTCTGCGTCACGTGAATGCTAGTTTTCAAATTGGACACAGTAGAGAGAGAGAGCTGTAGTGCTTATAGGAGTTGGTCAGTGCAAAAAAACAGTAATGAAGGCAATGAAAGACACAAAGTTGTGAACATTTGTCATAAATCAAGAGAATTGTGACCCCGGGAGAGGGCAATGAAAAACAGGAGTCTCCCATGAAAATCAGGAAGGTTGGCAAGTATGCTTTTTAATGAAATGTCAATAAATCTAAAACCTGTGAAAGATGCTGGGTCAGTGTGTCGTCTGTAATTATTTCCATTCCTCATAATGTTCACCTCAAAGGACTGAGAGAGTAAATGAATGAAAGTGTTTGTTATATCTGGCCACAGTAAAGTTGTGGACTGTAAAACAAAAACACTGAGATGTTTACTGTGTTAAAAGTTGGCTCCTGCTTGTAACAAAGAGAGGAAGCTCACGCAAACATAAGCTTAATGGTTTTATTGTACCAACTAAACATAAACAAACTTCAAGGCAAACATGAAAATCAGTATTATCAGGAGTGTCATAGTGTAAGATGTAGTGAGTGCAAAAAGAAAAGCTACATAATAAGTCAAAACTGAAGAGCTGGCGTGTCCCAGGGGTGGTGCATGGTGCGGTGGGAATCAAAAGAGCGCGAGTTGGCAGCCATCTTAAATACATCTCAGCCAGGCTGAACAGGTGAGCCACATCTCCTGACGACCCTGGCCTTGGCTCTGCCCATAGACAGCCTGGAACTCACAAACACCAAGTGGAGTGGTAATTACATTCAAATCTTAAAGTTAGAATATCAAATTTTCCTTAAGTACAGGATTGATCACATGAACAATGGTTTCTCTGGATGTTACAATTACCTTTTCCGCATAAGTCCTGTTTACCAACTCCCACTCAGCAACTCGGTACCTTAGAAGCAATTTAAGAGATAGGAGAAAGAAACACTGGAAACAGATGAGAACAGGAACTGTAACCATTTTAAATTTATGCTCTAGACAATGCATCAGCCATAACATTTTCAGAACCTTTAATGTGCCGAACATCAAGATGGAAAGGCTGTAAGAACACACACCGTCTCATCAAACGCTGGTTTGGATTCTGTAACGATATACACTGATAATTATAATGTAACTGTTATCTTAATGTAAACACAGACCACACCTGCAAAGATGTAAACTTGGAATAGTTTATTGCATGTTATAGAGGCGAGCTGAGATGCTGTGAGAGGGATGAATTAGAAGATGCATCATTTTCCCTTATCTGATTGCATATTTCATTCAACACTTGTTTTGACTCCTCACTGGAATGTGAATCATCACATGGGCCTGTCACTTAGTGTTAGTAAAGCATTTCAATTATGACATAATAACTTTAAATATGTGGCTTGCCCATACTTTAGACTGGGTTGGGCCCATGCACACACTTTGGAATCTAATTTAATCACTAACATTCAATTTATGACGCATGTGACAATTCACAATATAAAAATATAATGGAATATAATGCAGTAATCAGTAGCTTGTGTGGTGTCCAAACAATAATGCTGCGATGATGTGTTGAGAAGAAATCCGCTTGACACTGTTCTTGATCATCAAGGAGTTCAGCATCAATTACAAGCTCTGCAGCAGCTTGGAGAGTGACCCAGCCCGATGACCACTCTGTCTCTCTGTACATCAAACACAGCTTATATAGGACATGTTTAGGCATCTGTTAGACACCATATAAGGGTCTGAGTCTCCACCTAACCACTGACCTCTGCTCTCCCCTTAAAAGGTCACTAATCCTCTATCCAGCTGCTACAGTGCTCAGTTAAACTGTTATGCATCAAATGCACATATGTTATACACCATATGTTTTTTAGCTTAAGTTACTTTTATTTTGGACAATTCACATTTGTTCCCCTTCGAGGGAACTCGAACTGCGTCGGTGACGACACTATGGGAACGCCTCTGGGCGTGGCAGGGCTGAACTATGAATGAAACTACTCCAATCCTATTGGTGTTACTAGAACGGTAGTGTGTGACGGCGTAACCGGAGAGGGTATATAAGCACGCCGGCACATAGGACACATTAGCTTCTTTCTATTCAGCAGGCACTCTGGCTATGTTTGGAAGCTCCATCATCCTACCTGAAGTCGAGACAAAGCAGCAGATCATGTCGAAGCGATTCCGACAGTGGATGTGCGTCTCATGCCTGGGGATGTCGCATGCTCAGGCAGCTCTCGAGGGGGCTGCCTGCGACCATTGCGAGGCCCTGCCCCTGAGGGTGCTGAGGTCTCAAGCGGCTCTTTTTCCAGAGGATGGTCGGATGCGCTCACCCCGTGGCACAGGCCCCGCGGTCGCTGAGGCGTCGCGGCGGCTCCGATCCTGGGGATCGCAACGCGAGATCGCCGTGGGTGCTGGAACGGCTGAGGCCTTTTTCCGGTCCTCGTCCGAGGAATCCTCCTCCCCTCGCCCCCGATCGGGAGCCCGTTTCTCGGTTTCTCCCACTCGAGGGGTGAGTCCGGAGAGGCTGACACGATCTGGCTCTGAGGAGCTAGATGTGCTTAGCATGGAGAATGACTTCGGGGAAACAGAACGTCATCAGCCCTCGCCAGGATATGAGGATCTGTTAAAAGTGGTGACGCGGGCTGTGGCCAAGCTGCACATTGATTGGCCACAGGCAGTGCAGCAGCCATCGGTGGGCAGCAAACTAGACGAGCGGTTTCTGCAACACCGAGTGCCACCCCCGCGTCAGCCCCTACCATTTTTTCCCGGAACAAACCCTTCTCTGCACGGCTGTCTGCGTCCCCCCGGCTGGACTAAGGTAACGTCACGGAGATCAGATAGCACGGCTACGGAGCGATGCCGCGAGTGGAGGAGGCATTGGCTAGCTACCTCTCACCCAACCTCGCCTCATCCCTCCGGACGCCGGCGCTCCCCACCAAGCCGTGTCGGATGATGTCTGATTTGGTGGGCAAGGCCTACATGGCAGTGGGTCGAGCTGGTGCCAGCCTGCACACGATGGCTGTCTTGCAGGCATACCAGGCCGATCTCCTTCCGGACTGGTGACGTAGGGGGAGAGGTCCCTCTGAGGAGGACCTGACGGAGCTCCGTAGAGCGACGGACTTGGCTCTCCGTGTGACCAAGGAAACGGCCCGTTCCATCGGCCGATCCAAGGCGGCTTTGGTGGCTACGGAGCGCCATCTGTGGCTCAGCCTATTGGGCATCCAGGGGAAGGAGAGGACTTTTCTCCTGGATGCGCCCCTCTCGCCTTCTGGCCTGTTTGGCGAAGCAGTGGATGCTGTCGTCAACAGGTTCCAGCACGCCAAAACTCAGGGAGAGGCGTTTGAGCGATATCTACCCCGCCGACTCCAGGACCGCGACAGCTCAGGAAAAGCGGACGCAGCCTACGTCCAGCACCTACCGCCACAGCCAGAAGCAGAGCGTCGCTTCATGGGATTTCCCTCAACCAACCTGGGACGCAAGACGGCGCTCTCGCCCACAGCCCCCCGGGAAGACTGATACAAAATGTTCTGTGCAAATCCAGCTAATTAAGTGCAGAATATTAATCCCTGCAGGTGCCATTATTAATGTGCATAGTTACGTTTTTATAAGTGGAATTACCAAACCCAGCTGAAAAATCTGTACATGGACAAATCTGTCAGTCACTAGTAATAAAGTGTCCTTTATATTTTAGTAGGTTGATCTTGATAAGAGCCACCAAAACCTACAGGGCCCAAAAAGTATTTTCTTCAGTAACCTAAAGATGAAAGTTTGTCCTGAATGCAGGTTTGAATGAGCAGTCAGAACTAAACTGTTTCAACAAATCTTTAGTAGGCCTATTTCTGATTTTCAACTGATGTTCCGGTTATTGTCATGTCTTACCACCTCACAAACGTTATTTACTGGGGACAAGGACTCTGTGGCGCCCTCTTTTGTTCAAATAGGCTATGATCATTACTACTTGACTTCATGAGGCGCTGCGCAGCGCTGAATTAACGTGTGCATGCTGGACTCAACAGTTGCTTTTCTTTCTTTTGACTGATCTCGCAGCATGTTTCTTTGCAAATGCCGCAAGATCAGTCATTGTTGTAAGCTCACGCAGGTGGAATGTGTTCGACTTGATGGCGCTGTTTTTGTACCCCGTCGCCTGCAGTTCATGTTTGACTATCAAGTTGGTGAAAGTCAGTCATCTCGGACGTACTTGATGTTTCCTTTCTCAGAAAAATGATACCCAGGGGGTATAGGGGGGAAAATTTAGGGCAATTCCAAGGGCCCTTGACTGACAGGGGCCCCAAAAAATAAGTACAACTAATATACAATACTATTATAGGCTACGTTATATAAACCATCATCATTGAGTGTATATATATATATATTTCAAATATAATAATAAAAGAAATGATCTCTTTGTTTTTACTTGTTTTTGGCAGTAAAAGTTAAATATCCCCGTTGACCAAAAAGTAAACTACTGACCACCCCACTGTATCTGCATGAAATGGTTTTGTCCTGCCTCAGCGCACTGATCAGTGACGTGTTTAGTTGCAGTCAGTAGATGCGTGTTGTGTCCGGGGTGAGATGGATCTGCAGTGATGTTTCCCTCTGGAAACTCTGGAAATGTATAAGTCCTGAATGGAGCGCAGGTTGGCACCGATTATTTTTTCTGCAGTCCTGACTGTACGTTGTAGTCTGTCCCTGTCCTTTTTGGTGGCAGATCCAAACCAGACAGTGATGGAGGTGCAGAGGACAAACTGGATGATAGCTGTGTAGAACTGGATCAGCAGCTCCTTAGGCAGGTTGAGCTTCCTGAGCTGACGCAGGAAGTACGTCCTTTGCTGGGCCTTCTTGATAATGGTGTCAGTGTTGGGCTCCCACTTTAGGTCCTGGGATATAGTGGAACCCAGAAACCGGAAGGATTCCACAGCAGACACAGGGCTGTTGAGTATGGTGATGGGGGGCAGAGTTTGGGGGGGCTCCTCCTGAAGTCCACGGTCATCTCCACAGTTTTGAGCGTGTTAAGCTTCAGGTTGTTCTGACCGCACCAGAGAGCCAGCTGATCAACCTCCCGTCTGTAGGCCGACTCGTCACTGTCCCAGATGAGGCCG